GTATAAATATAAATAACATATTTATATATATATAATAATATAAATAATATACATATAAATAACATATTTAAATAAAATATTTATTTAGTATAAATATAAATATAAAACACATTGAAATAATATTATTTTGAAATCTTGATAAAAAATTTTGTTTAGCTTGTGTTTTTTTTGTTTGTTTTTTTGTACTTTTATATTCATTTTCCCCCACTTGTTTGGTTTGGATGGTTTTCCATAGTGACATAAAGGCCACTATGAAAGAGTTAAAGCAATGTTTCACAACCTGATGCCCTTCCTGACGTTAACTTGAGTAACAATTTTTTATTTGTAAATATTTGCAATAACTTTTAATAAAAAGTTAAACTCTATAAATGGATACACAGGCATAAGAAAAATAAAATCAAGTTCATCTTGCATGGAGTTTGTGATTAGATTAGTTAAATTGTTGTGAATTATCAGATAGTTACATAATGTTATTTCTTTTATTATTAAATTTTTTTTAACATAACTCTTTCCTATATACCTTTCATAATTTATTTTATACGTTTATATTATATTAATACGTTTATATTATTATTACGCAGCCAAGTTTTCCGTTTTAAATTAGACGTCTTAGTCTTGTCCAGGGCCAGCGCCTACAGGTAATTAAAGTAAATGTAAGTCGTAAGAACAGTGTCGTTAGAGGTTCTTCTAAAAGTTCTCCTAATTAGGGCCTCATTTTATTTAAAAAAACTTAATTTTTTAGGTAATACAAAAAGCGTCTTATATTTTGAAAAGGGTCCCGTTAAATTAGGGGCCCATGCCCCTAATTTAGGGGCCCATGCCCATAAATTAGGAGTGTATGGTACTGCGTAAGAATAATTAGCAGGTAGAACAAAATTTCATCAATTTCTAACATGTCGTTGTTGAAAAATGTACTTAATATGTTTAATATATATGATGTAACAACATAATATTTTTGAATTTTACTAAAAACCAAAGTTATTTTGTTCTATCTCCAAAAGAGGGTGCGAAAAAAAGGGCGTTAGCGTAATTTTAAAAAGTTTTTTTATCTAAAAATTAATAATAAAACATTTTTAAATCTTAGGAAATACCTAAATTCTCAAAATATTTTTTCAATTTAGCTGCGAACAAATTCAAACTTTGACATCGATTTTCTCAGTTTGCAAAAACATGGAGATAGCACAAGATAATTCTAACGTCGCGATATATATATATATATATATATATATATATATATATTATATATATATACACGCACCAAGAACAAAATTATTAAAAGTAAATATAAAGATTCGCTATATGTTGCCTAAGGAACCTTTAGGTTGTGTTACAATCACATTGCCTAACTAATGGTTCATACAGCAAACTTGTAAGCTGTTTACCTTGCAAATATGTTTTAAGCCTCAGGCATTTTGCAGAGGGCAATTAAGAGTCAAAAGGTGCATACTAATATACACTTGCATGCTATTATAATAATATTATACCAGGGTGGCCAGCCAACTGGAAATCATGGAAAAGTCAGGGAATATTTTTCTAGTCAGGAAAATCAGGGAAAAATGTATTTTTTGAAATTTTAAATTTTTATAAAGGTTTTTTGTTACTTAATCCCAAACAACAAAACTTAAAAATTCACACTTTAAAATATAACTGAGTCAGGGAAAAGCTGGCCACCCTGTATACATAATTTATATATATATATATATATATATTTATATATATATATATATATATATATATATATATATATATATATATATATATATATATATATATATATATATATATATATATATATATATATATATATATATATATATATATATATATATATATGTCACTCTCCATGAAATAATCTGAACATATAACATCAAATTTACTCGGTTTTTAATAATCAATGCATTTATAAGGTTTTTGCATTTTTTATTTATCAAGCGAAATCTGTGTTTAAAGCGCATATAAGTTTAACGCAACTACGCATTTATAAATTCTGGGGCTTTCCAATATGGCGTCTTTTGGCTTCAAAAATTTCGAAATTTTATTAGGAGATGCGCTATCCAGTTATTATAGAGATCAGTGGTATTGATACGCAAGAAAACACGAAAACGATTGCTATTTATTAGTAAAATATGTTTGTTTTTTTTTAAATGAAAGAAAATGTTATTGTTAAACGATTGAGTTGCTTATTTTGCGATCATTAATTGACATAATTGAACGAGTGTTAATATATAATAATTCCCGAAGGAACTGTTTTCGTAACAATGACAACAGAAGCAATGCAATTATTTTTTTAACTTCTTTCGTAATTACAAAATTATGCAATTGAATAATTTCAACGTAATAAAAGGCAAGCATTGACTAATAAAATCAGTTTAAAACAAGTCGAGAAAGAACTTTTTTTCACATTAAAATTTTGTAATGTTTAAAATCTCAAATAATATATTTAATGATTAAAACAGCAATTTATTTTCTTGTCTAAGTGTTGGGGAATAAAGTCATTGCCTTTGCATAAACCTTCGTAAAAACTAAATTAAATGAAAAAGTTTAACCAAATTTGTCTAGCGTAAATAATGAATCAGTTTTTTGATACATTGTCTGATAAAGTTCGTAAATAAATTACTTATCAAGTCTTTTTATTTTTGTGAAAACTTTATGACTTATCGTCGTCTTTTCCTTGACTTGTATCAAATTTCGTAGCTGAAAATAGCAACCCTAATAAAAGAAAACAAAAACAGTATAAAAATTTTGAAAAAAATGTTTAAGACTTTTTTTTTTTTTTGTTACAAGAATTTTTTTTTATTATTTTTTTATTATTATCAAAATATTTTTCTTACATCTAATTTCAATTTTATACTTTGTTTAGACTTCGTTTCATTTTTTTTAATATTATTTTTTATTTTCTGTGGATAATTTCCGCTTTCTTACGAAATATTGCCGCGGTAACGTTTTCTGAAAAAGTTAATCTATGCGTGGACAAACAAGGCGTGCGACCGCACGCCTTTCCTGGGAAAGCCTGTATACTATATGTTATTTTTTATTTTATTTTATTTTTTTCTCTATAATTATAATAAATTTTAATGTAACATAATAACTAAATATATTTTTGAGCCGAATTGAGTGGGACGTTTTAAAACAGTACTCTGTATAACGTCTTTTCGATGAAAAAAGGTGACCATTTTAAGACGTTTTTATGAAGCTAATTGTTATCTTAACTGAATATCTAAAAGTCCTCTAAAATCAGAATAAAAGACGTCTTCATCAAAACGTCTTTAGTGCGTTTGGATAAGACGTTTTTAATCTGCCTAAAGTAAGAAAACTTTAAGCAATCTTGAGTGAGATATCGTTTCAACGGACAAGGTAGACCTTTTTAAGACATTTTTAAGACATCTTAAATAAAACGTCTTTAGGCTGTTTAAATAAGACGTTTTAAATCGGTCTTTAATAAGACCGATATCTTTCAACAATTTTGTGTGACGTCTTTAAACAATTTTGTGGGACGTCTTTTCGACGGACAATGTAGATCTTTTTAAGATATCTTAAAGACGTGTTTTTTAATCGAGGAAAGACGACTTTAAGATAGCTAAAAGCAATTTTTTTGTTTGTTAGGAATGTTTTGAATTCTGTTTTAAACTAACAGAAGCCATATTGAAGTCACTTAAAAAACACAATTGGTTTTTTTTTTTGTTTTGTTTTTTTACATTTTTGTCGTTGTTTACAAAGATAAACAGACAACAATAAGGCTTCAAAACAACAACAACAAAACAAGGCTTCTGAAAGAAGATCATAATGATCTTATCATCAGAACCTTTTCAAGTTTTTTAAAATCATTACATTAACAATACAAAAAAATTACAACAAATCGTGAAATAAATTGGAAATATAAATTAACCACTAATGTTATATATAATAAGAAGTCTGATCTTATCATCAGATCTTATCAAAACGTAAATATATAAATACATATATATATACAAAGTGAATACAGTATTACATCTCTTTTTAATAGGCACGAGAAAATACAACAGACTTACAATTAAAAAGGCAAATACGTAATTGTTATAAAAAGTATTTGAATTTATCATCAATAGATAATAAAATAATAGAAAATAAATATCATCAATAGATAATAAAATCAATAGAAAATAAAATTTTTAAGTTTACTTTTAACCCTTAAAGGACGGGAAAAAAAAGTTACGTTAAGGACGGCTGGGGTATTACCCCTAACTAAAAATATAGGTTTTTATAACTACCCCAACTTAAAATGCGTGCTTTCAACAAAAATATCAATTTTCTCAATGTTTTTTTAAATAAAAGTGATATTTGATACAATTTATTCAAATAAAAACAAAATATAAATAAGGCAACTATTGCAAACAATTTTGCTATGAGCCTTGCAAACAGAATGGCTACATAATGCACATTGAAGACGGGTTTTTCTGTCTTGAACACGAGGACACATATAGCACCTTTTTATGTGCTGCTCTTGATTTGGTTGACCTTGATTTAATAGGTTATTTTGTACAATTACTTGGCGAAGATTATTATTTGCAACTATTTGTGGAAGATTGTCATTTGCATCAAACTTTTTAATAAGACTTTTTGATAATTCTTTTAAAAATTCTCTTCTTCTATGAGAAGCTCCATTTTTATAATTTGGGTGAATTGACAAGAATAAAATCAAAGCATTGTATGCTGCAATATCCAAAATATTACAAAACATTGTAAATGGCCGTCGGTTACTTTTTCGGTGACTCGAATAGCACCTGACAACCTGGTCTAATGTGTCAACTCCACCTTTATATTTGTTGTAATCTATAATAATACACGGTTTTTCATTATGGTCCATAACAATGTCATTACTGTAATAGAAAGTTGATAATAATATTACTGCTTTGTTTTTCTGAGGTACATAAGAAACAATAGTAGAGTCATTTTGAAAACCAAAAATGCTAGAATAAACTGGTCGATGTAAGGCTGGCAATAACTTTTTTGGTATTTCTCCTTTATTTTTTTTTAATGGTGCCAGTGTATGTCATTTTACGTCCTAGCAATGCACGTGGAAGATGAATGTTTGTAAAAAAATTATCAGCTGTTATGTGTCTACCACTTCCATTTAAGTGATCAGTTAGTTCAAGAACTACTCGTGTACCTTGTCCAACATCACGTACTCCATTTACTCTACCAATATACGGTTGCAAATTTATGCAGTAAGAAGTTTCAGCATCACATAATATCCATATCTTCATTCCATACTTTCCTGGCTTAGTAGGTATAAACATCTTAAACGGACAACGTCCCCTAAATGTAACTAATTGCTCATTAACAGTAAGATATGCACTTGGATTGTAGTTGCTCTTACATTTAGTAGTAAACATTTCCATTATATTTCTTAAAGGTGCAAATTTGTCTTCAAACCGTCTTTGATTTCTTGTTTCTCACTCATCAAATCGAAGGCATCGTCGCAAGTTAACAAATCGATCTCTTTGCATTGAAGTAGAAAATATTGGTATGCCATCTAATTTACTCCAAAGCTCTTTTATGCTTTGATTTTTAGAATGAAACACTCCAGCTAGAAGAAGAACTCCAATAAACTCATAAAGGTCATTTACTGTCGTGTCAACCCATCCTTCTAGTCTTATTCTACGAGCTTCAGCATTAGTGCAATTGACAATAATTCTAATCATTTCTGGTGTTATAAAAAGTTTAAAGGCAGTATCCACACTTTGGCCGCAAACCTGAGCTGCAAACCTTGTTGGGCTAGTTGGTTGTCGAATAACATTGTGTGCAAGTGGCTGAGCAGCATTTACAGATGGAAGAGTACTCCAAATTTCTTCACCATTCTTTGAAATCATGTTTTGATTTGAAATATGATTTTCCTGAACAACTTCTTCATCACTTTGATCAGAGATGATAGCATTTGATTCATCGTCAACTGTAACAATATCTTCTTCATCGTCTGTAAGGTTTTCATCAGCTGAGTCATCACTTGAAGATAAGTCATTTAAACCAAAAATAATATTATTAGCCTCGACTGCAGCATTTCTTCTTGGGCGACTCATTATATAAATTATACTTATTCTAAAAATAATTTCAGTCTTTATTAAACCAAATATGTGAAAAATATATAACAAATATTGTAGGCATTATTATTTTGTACCAATAATATAAATATTTTTGACATAAAAACAAAATATATGCAACATGAGCAGACTACTGTTGTTACAGTGAGTGTATATATTTAATCAATATATGGTATAATTTACTCATAAAAAAGATAAATAATACCCCATACCTATTAAAAAATAACTAAAACATAAGCAAGTGTTAAAATAAACATGGTTTATATAGCTATTTATTGATTCACTAACTAAAAAATGAGAAAACTTGCATGGGGTATAAAAATACCCCAACCGTCTTTAACGTAATTAAATTTTCAACTAACAATATTATTGTCAATTGATTAGTAAAACAAAAACATTTTACACTAAAAACTTCCTTTATATATAATAAAAGATGTTCTGAAGTGGCAGTTCAAGTACACAAAATTTGTTGATGTGGCAGTTAAAAGTAAACTCTTCTGGGGTAGTAAAATACCCCGCCGTCCTTCAAGGGTTAAAGATCGGATTTGTATTGGATACATCAAAATTAGGTATAACAGTTTTATTCCAAAGGTTAGGTGCTCGAAATATAATTCAAAATTTGTTAAATTTTGCTCTGCAAATAGGTTAATTTACAAGATTTTCTAAGTAAATATTTATTAATTGGGTTTAGAAAAAAAAAGTCTTTAAAGATAAATAAAGCATAAAATGTTATAAACATTGAGCTTGTAAATATTAGGCATTTTTAAATGAAAGATTTGTGGTTATGTGTCTTGTTAATAAATGTTTACCTCGAGATCAGCTACATAAATTAGCACTTAAATTAGATCAGACAGAAAATCCGACCAGTTATAAGATAGGAAAATCCGACCAGTTATAAGATAGGAAAAAAAGTGCCGATTTTTTTACTGACAATAAAAAAAATAAAAAAATATAAAATTAAATACTTTATTGGTCCTGAAAGCTGCGTTTTCTTTGATTTATAAAAAATGACATTACAAGTGACAGAATGACTGAAAATCAATTCATCAAACTGGGAAACATTTTCGGATTATATTAGATTTAAAAAATATATCACTGGTCTTCTTGTTATAAATGACAGAGCAGAACGAGCTTTTAAACTTGGTCAAGACTTTATTAAAACTTTCAGAAACAAAGAAGATAGCCAAGCTGATTTATTGGTTGTCGCTGATTATTTAAAAACAAAGAAGCTAGCGAAGCTAATTTATTGGTTGTTATTGATCATCTTTTAAATATTCAGACAACAAAAATAAATCTTGCTTGAAAACTTTATAATAACCTTTCTTTAAAAAAAAATTTAAATGCAAAAATAATTTCTAATAAATATGTAGAAAAACAAAATTTTTGTTCTCCGACCCATCCTCCCTCAACTTCAAAATATACGCAGCATGTATTTAAATAGGTAAGGCTGACCATTAACGTTATCTATTGCAGTAAAACAAAACATAATCTAAAGTAAGACGTATTAGGCTACAAAAATAATTCTTAAGATATTTTTGAAAAATTTATTAGTGCCGCTGCCTCCTAATTATTAACAACAGTTTAAAATTTCTGTAAATTCGGACTGATGGAAATGACTATCAGGGAACCCATAAAAAATAATTATATTTTTTTAATATATATATCAAAAACAACCATAAAAAATATTACTGCGTTTTTTTATTGCTTTATGTCTATTATGCCCATATATATATATATATATATATATATATATATATATATATATATATATATATATATATATATATATATATATATATATATATATATATATATATATATATATATATATATATATATATATATATATATATATATATATATATATATATATATATATATATGTATATATATATATACAAAATAAAGATAATAAAAACACCTCCGCCATTAGCACAACTTTTTAATATTATTGGGCGCAAAATATTAAAAATAACCTGTGTTATATATATACACAAACATATATATAAATATATATATATATATATATATATATATATATATATATATATATATATATATATATATATATATATATATATATATATATATATATATATATATATATATATATATATATATATAATATCAATAAAAATATATGATAAAGAATAAATGTTAGAATTTAATATAAAGTACCAACTCTGTAATTAGGACTTTATACATTCACAGAAAAAATGAGAAGTTTTTTTAAAAAATGAAAATTAAGTTACCTATCTGAACATGTTTTTAAAGAAAAAACAAAAAAAATAATACATACTTTCATTATTGGTTCAAGATTTAATACTGAATTATTTACTTGGTTATTAGGGTAAGGTGTTCAATTTTTTTCAAATAAATTAAAAAATTTGACAGACTTAATTTAGTCTGACTTATTATGTTTTATTAATTTTGATAATATTTTGTAATCTGAAACTAGGTTATAAAATATAACTTTATTAAAAAAAATTTTATACCATATACATGCATTCTAATAAGAATTGCTTGTTTTTCCACTTAGGCAAATTATTTTCGTAATGGCTAGTTATTGACACAATAATTTTTAATGTGCCACGGTTTATTAACGTTGGCAAAGTAACACTTTTCAACGTTTTTTAATTACCGTATTTTTAACGTTGAATAAGAGTTGTTGTGTAAATAGCTTAATAAATAGCTTCAATTCACTGAAATTGCAGCTAATATCTAACGTTGAAACTTTGCAATGTTTTTGAGAAGATAAAATACGTTTAAATCTATACGCTTATTTAACGTTGAAAATATAATGTTTAAAAAGCGGTTTGTTTTATACGTTATTAAAGCATTTATTTTATAACGTTTTTAACGTGGCTTTTTGCGTTAGTTGATCCCACGTTGATTAAACGTTTTATTTTGAGAAGCTAAATTACGTTACAATTTTAACGATTATTCAACGTTTCAATCAACCGCGATTTAGTATACAAAAATAGACATTGATTCAACGTTGAAAGCACGTTTTTTTTGTGACTGTTACGCATTGTCTACGCTGCGACCAGTGCTGGCTTCACGCAGAGACTTATGGGAATAAAGTCCCAGGGTCTGAGCTTCCGCATTGCCCGTCGGGATTCTTTAAAAATTATCAAAAGTGTCATTTTTTATCTTTTTATAAGACAAATTCATATGGCGCTGCTTTTGCGGTATGAACGCGCTTATTTTGTAGGAAAAATAAATAAAATAATAGCAAATAAATAACAACAAACTTTCGTAAAGTTTATTTGTTTCAATGTAAATGGTTTTATTTCTATCAAATGTGAATATATTTTATTAGAAATATTAATTTAAGTTGAAAGTTGTACTATTTTAGAAAAAATTGATTTAATTTTTTTGAAAAATATATTTTTTTAATGTAAACGGTTTTGTTTATACAATATTGTTCCGTTTTCAAAAATAAGGAAAAGGAGAAGACTTTTTTCATAACTAATAACTTTTTTTTAGTTTCTATTAGTTACATTTTTTACATATTTTGTGGTAAATTTTAGCTGTTAAGTGTTTCTGCTCCTTTATCTTACCTACAAATGGTTATAATGTCGCTTTTTTAGAAACATCCTCAAATGCAACTTGTGATACTAGATCACTGCCAGGGATAACAGAAATATCAGCATCTTTTACTAAAGCCGCCTCTTCACCTACTACTTTGTTTTCAACATCAGGTACCCAATTAGATACATCATTAGTGCCATTATTTTCTCGGGCTGATGAGGCTGTCTGTGATGATTTAGCGATGTCACAACTAATAAATGGTGTGTTGATATGGTGGTTGAAAAGGAATTTAACAAAAGTAATCATATAGTTACTTGTGATACTGATTTGACTGATACTGCTTTTTTTAATCCTGGTGTTTGGAATAATGATCACGAAATCAAGAAACGTGTCAAAAGATATATAATTGACAATGGCACAGAAAACTTCCAGCATATAGTGATTTTTCCAATTCTGTACAAACTATTGGAAAACAGATAAGATATTTTCAATTATCAACATTTTACCTTATTAAACAAAACTAACAAAAGGTTCTACGAAAATGGATGTGTTATTGCCCAGTTAAAGGATCAGTATATTGCATTCTATTGATGACATTTCTACCGTCACGAAAATTCCAAACAGCATAATGAGACTATAATACCACTTTTAAAAACTCAGAAAAAAATCAAGCCTTTATTTTTATCTGTACTGAATGATAAAATAATGTATTGGAAAAAGGCACTTTTTAGGATAGTTGATGTGATAAAATTTTTAACATCTAGAGG